AGAGCTGCTCCTTAACCAGGGTTGTCAGGCAGTTACTGGCTAACTGGGTGGTCTCTTGTTTAAGCTCTTTATCTGGGGTAGTTACGGAAGAAAGTGGATCCCTCGGTAATGCCAAGTGCTCTCGCGGTGTGTCAGGTGCTTCGGGCATGTGCCTCAGTTTATCCACACCTCCAACTGCCAGGACGGCACCCCCGGAGGGTCTCAGGAGAAGCTGCCTGTGCCGGGGACAGACACTCGTTCGGCCCTGGAAGGCGTGGCGCCCCACGCTTGCTCTGCCTCTTGTAGGTGCCAGGTGACTAACGCCCAGGACCTGTTCTGATGGTCAGAACTAAGGTTCCAGATGGTATGGACTAAGGTGAAATAATTCAATGTCAGTATCATGACAGAGTCACTGTTATGATGTAAAAAGCTAGATGTAGAGGGGCGAGAGAAGTATGCATTTACAAAAGATTCCTCCTCCCGCCACAAAGCATTATGGGCCCCAACCGGGTTTATAAAAAATGAAGATCGACCAAACACTGCTTCTGCTGCAAAACTCACATACACAGGTGTTTCCTTTTTGTTTGGTTTTCTTTGGTTTGATTTTGTAATTTTAGCTCCCACATATAAAGGAGAACACGCGAGAAGTATTTGTCTTTCTGTGCCTGGCTTCTGTCCCTCAATGTGGTGTGCTCCAGTTCCAACCATTTTGATGCACATGGTAAAATTTCATTCTTTTTCTTAGCTAAATAATATTCCATTTTCTTTATCCATTCATCTGAGATGGGCACTTGGGTTGATTCCATAGTTTGGTGGTTGTGAACAGTGCTGCTAGAAACATGGTGGTGCAGGTATCTCTTTGACACACTGTGTTCACGTCTTGGGTGTATACCCAGTAGTGAGGTTGCTGGGCCATATGCCAGCTCTATTTCTAGTTTTTTAAGAAACCTCAGCACTTCACAGAGGCTGCGCTAATTTGCGTTCCCACCACCAGTGTTAAGGGTTTTCCCCGTTCTCTACATGCTCACCAACATTTGTTACTGTCTCTTTGATAATAGCCGTTCTGACAGGGGTGAGGTGATACCTCATCGTGATTCTCATTTGCATTTCCATGATAACTACTGACACTGAGCATTTTTTTCGTATATTTTTTGGCCATTTGTATTTCTTAGAATTCTCTACAGAGGTCCTTTGCCCATTTCTTAACTGAATTGATTGTTTTTTGTTGTTTTTTTGAGTTGCTGATATAGTCTGAGTGTCAATCCTTTATCAGATAAGCAGCTTGCACGTATTTTTCCTATTCTGCAAGATGTCTTCATCTAACCCAGCCTGGATTAACACTAAGACCAAGGAGCCAGCATTGTGGTGCAGCAGGCTAAGCCTCGCTTGTGGCACCAGCATCCCATATTGGAACAGCAGGCAGTTTGAGTCCTGTCCACTCTGCTTCCCATCCAGCCCCCTGCTGATGCACCTGGGACAGCAGCAGATGATGGCCCAAGTACTTTGGTCCCTGTCACCCAGGTGGCAGACCAGATAGAGTTCCTGTCCCCTGGCTTCAGCCGGGCCCAGCCCCGGCTGTTGGGAGTATTTGGGTGGTGAAATAGTGGAAGGAAGTTCTCTCTTCTCTGTCTCTCCCCCTCTCTCTGTCACCATGCCTTTCAAATAAATAAATAATCCGAATTTTTTTTAAATGAAGACCAAAGCCCACCGTCAGCCTCGGTGATGGTGCTTTGGGGAACGGAAGGCCCAGAGTGAACAAGCTACCATGTTAGGTGGGGAGTGGGGGTCGTGTGTCGCTGCGCGGACCTCTCCTGTGTCAGGGCGAGTCTGAGTATTTTGTACCTTGTAACAACACTGAATTTCTGTCTGTGTTCTGACTAAGCAAACAAGTAATGAAAGATTTATTTTAATACCTCCAGGGACTATTGACGTTCTGAGACTGTGACTATTTGTCATAGGAAACGGTGGAAACATTCGCTGCAGGGCGCTGTGTCTAACTCCACTGTGGAAGGGTGACTTACGCCGCAGCCCCGGGGCGCCCATCGCCTCCCTGATCTGGTGCTGATTAATTTACCCACTTTAAAAAGGCCCCGCAAAGGCCTCAGACATAGGAAGGGAGCTCAAAGCATTCATCAATGTAAGAAGGTCATTGTTCAAGTAAAGTAAGTGAGTGTTGCTAACAATTCACTTGCAGACACAAAGCGGCATCTCCGTTTCTGTCCTGACACCACGCTCAGCTCTCCGGGAAGTCTTCCTGATCCGTAGGCATCTGAGCACCCCGAAGTGCAGCGCCTGGAATCCCCAGACCTGTAGCTCACGGTTAGCGTCGGGCGTGCGGGCGCAGCCTGCCTGGGTTCTGCGGGCGCAGCCTCCGCCGAGGCGTCTCCAGGGGATGCGGCCGTGCCAGCACACCCGATGAAGCTGCTGCCTGCGACACCTGCATGCCCAGGCAGAGTGCCGGGTTGTCCGGTCCTGGCTGCTCTGCTTCTGATCCAGGTTCCTGCTGATGAGAAAGGCAGGGATGAGGGATGACCCAGGTGCTTGAATCTCTGTCACCCACAGGAGACCCAGGTGGAGTTTTTGGCTCCTGGCTTTGGTGTGGCCCAGCCTCAGAAGTAGCAGGTGCTTGAGGAGTGAACCAGTGGATGGCAGATCCCGACCACCACTCTGTGTGTGTGTGTGTGTGTGTGTGTGACTCTGCATTTCAAACAAATATTTAAAACAAGCTTCTTTAAATGGCATCACTGAGGGCTGGGGTCTTACCTAAAAGCTGGACAAGGGGGAATCCTATTCCAGGTCCACTCAGGGCTGATGGCAGAGCCCTCCGGGCCATGCCAACTCTGCCAGAGAAGGTGCTGAGAGAGAGAGAAAACAAGAACTTTGTCTTCTTCTAGTGTTTTCTCTCAAAGGACATCCATCATGTGCTCTGCCAATTAGAAGCAGTTGCCAGACCCACCCACACGCGAGGAGGGGTCACACAGGATGTGAGCCTCTCCAGGCGGGGGATCTGGTCAAATGCACGTGGAGTCCGTCGGTCATGTCGCATCACTGTCCTTGGCAGTGAGATGCAGGCACCGAGGTCTCCTGTTGACCTCATTCAGGCTGAGTTCCAGTTGGTTGTGACTTTTTTTTAAATGAAAGACATAGTGATGGGGAGAGGGGGGAGATGTCTTTCATATGCTAGTTCACTCCCTAAATGCCTGCAACAGAGAGAGCTAGGCCAGGCTGAAACCAGGAACCAAGGACTCCCTCCGGGTCTCCCATGGGGGTGTCAGTGGCCCAAGCACTTGAGCCATCATCTGCCCCCGAGGGTGCATGAGCAGGAAGCCAGAGGAGAAGCAGAGTAGCCAGGATTGGAACCAGCACTCCACGGGGCATGCGGTGTCCCAGGGGACAGGGTACCCCACTGCACCACAGCACCCACCCAGGCTGTGCCCTGATTGCCAGTCCGAGCCGGAGGCTGCGAACTGGTGGGTTCCTGTTGCCTGTGCCGTTGGTCCTAGAAAGCGTGAAGCAGCTTTGTCTGTTCACTTGTTTTCTAAAATTCTGAGAACCGAAATGAAGACGGGAAAGCAGTGAAGCAGAGATGTGCTCTCAGGTGATGGAGAGCCGGCGTGGGTGGCTGGGCAGTGGCCACAGAGTCTAAAAAGGTCACAGCCAGCTCCTTCGTGCCCTCGGATCTCAGCTTAAATATCACCTCCCTGGCCGTCTGGCCCACGCAGGCCAGCGCCTCACTCAGCATCGTCTGTGTAGCCTCTAGGACTCGCTGTCTCTACTCCGCCTATTTCCTGGTGTTTGTCTCTCTCTTCCCCACAAGAACAAAGCCCCAGGAGGATGGGGACCTCCTCTCAGTCGTCACGTGCGTGCATCGGCATCGGCGCCTCGTGCAGGGCGCCCCACAAAGCAGGCACTTAGAAAACGCGACACACGAATGGTGCAAACACGTGGACGTGCAGTGACTCCAGCGAGCTTTCTGGGAATCACCGCATCACCGCGATGTTCAAAGGAGGTGCCATCAATACATCAGTCTGTTTAAAAAAAATGACGAAAACAAAAGGCAAACGCAGGATTGGGGGTCACTCTTGTCCTTGCCATCAAGTCCCTGGATGACCATTCGGAAAACCGCGCCACGTTCCCTCCGGGTGTAAACAAGGGGACCGAGGGTCGGAGGTCCTTGGGGCTGTGCTTCCTGCCCGGGCAGTGAGGGTCCCGATCCCACTCAGGAAGAGTGACTGTTTCTCGGGTTTTCACTGAAAAGGCGCCACGTAAGACCGTGGTCCAAGAGAAGAAGCTTTGAGACCCACTCATGTCCCTTCCAGCCTGCAGGCACCAGCCCTGGTCAGGACAGAGGCCGGGGCTCACGCCGCTTCAGCCCAGCAGAACCAGTGGGAAGACCGAGCTGGGTGGGGTCCGTTCCGGGGACCAGAGCCCTTTCTGAGACCCCAAGGAGTCCCCTCCCCTCACTGTCTCTCTCCCTTTTCCACGTCCGCTCACTCCTTGCCGCGTTTCCCACCAGATAGCCAAGTTGCATCATTAAAATTCTGCAGCCTCCCCTGAGACAGGGCGCATGGTGCCCCTGAGCCTGGCAGGAAAGATCTGTGTGCGCCTTACCTCGTCATTTAAATAGACTTTCTGGCAGCATTCGATTCTTGGTGTTTTCATTTCTAATTACAGAGCTATTCTATCGCACATGAACATGCTCTGTACCGTGGCGTCCTCTTCGGCTCCGCGCTTCTCGTTGGCCTTCTCGCTTTGAAGCTAGCAGCTGGGTTTTGGGCCTGCCGCGGCCCACGTGTTTCCTCCTGGCCTCTGGGAATCACCAGGTCCCAGGCATAATTAGTATAAATCAAAATCCGCCAGACGGGGACAGGCCAATGGGTATGTTTGAGCAGCAGCTTATTAAAATGACCTACTTAATTTAAGAAAAATATTGTATCCGCTTGCATGGTAACCTGGATGCATTTCCCTGACAGATTTCTGTAATATTTTCCTCACCCCTTCCCCCCATTTTTTTTTTTAAGAGAAAGAAAAGGAATGGCAAGGCCCGTTCTACTTCCTGCAAGGTGCAGACCCGCAGTTTGGGCTGATGAAGGCCTGGTCCACCGGGAACTGTGACAGCGGCGGTGACGAGTGGGGACAGGAGCTCCGTCTCACTGAGCAAGCCGTCCAGGCCATCAACAGGCTGGACCCCAAGCCCAAGTTCTTTGTGCTGTGCGGAGACCTCGTCCACGCCATGCCGGGTAAGCCTGGGGTCGCCGCCTGTGACCTTCTCGTCTCCTTGAGCCCCTGGGGCCCGGGTCTCAGCAGGGAAGAAGGAAATGATGGTCCCCCCAAGATGTCTCTGTTTGGTAACAGCTCACTGCTTCCCTCCGTGACGGCTGCAGGATCACTGAGCAGCAGCGAACGCACGCTCGTTTTATATTTAGAATTTGGCAAGATTAATCACAGTAATTAGGCAGAGCCTCAGTTCTGATGAGCCGAGCTCAGTATGAAAAATGGAACCCCCCCCCCCCACCCGGTTCACCTTTCTGCACTTGCAGGGATGAACTTGAACTTGAACCATTTCCAGATACCACATCCCTAAATGCAGTCCTCTCTCCTCTCCCCTCGTCTTACACTTTTCTTTGCTCCCCCATTTGTTGGTGCTTTTTCAGTTGCAATCAAGAAATCCAACTTAGATTAAGTTTTTTTTTTTTTTTTTTTAAGTCCAGGGGTGATCTGGGATTCAGGCACAGCTGGATCCAGGGGATCAGAAGTTGTCCTCAGAGTTTGATTTCTCTGTCCCTGGGCTCTGTGTGACTTCATTTGCAGGCAGGCTCCCCCTAGGTAGTGGCTCCCAAGACTCCCACTCTGTTCCCTTCTTACGGAAAACAAGAGAGAGAGAACACCTATGCTTGTCAGTGCAGAGTCTCAGCCCAACCCTCCTGTGGCTCTCCAAGTCCGCTCCCCTGCAAGCAGGTGACCTGAAGAATGGGGCGGTTTCCCTACGGAAGAGAGACGTGCAGGGAATGTGAAGATACCAGATGCTTTCTGAACTCTCTTCCTTCCCTCTCCCCCATGAGCAAGAATCAGCCAGTGGGAGGTGCACCTGCCTGTCAGGGCGGCAGAGCCAGCTCCTGCCTGTGTCTCTCTCGGCATAGTGGACGAGAGGTGAGCTCAGGACCATTGCAGAAAACCCGGCCCGGGGTGTTCGCTTGCGTCTGGCTTCACCTGTGTACGCTAGGACTCGAGTCTTGCTGTGATTTCCAACTCTGTTAGAAGCCGCAGCGCTCTGCAGGCAGCCTGCATGGGTGGATTCCTCCCCACCGGGCTGGCTTGTCTGGCAGCCTGTTTATCCAGAATAAAACCCAGAATGGAGATGTGAGAACAGGAAAAGGGCAGCCCAGAACTGCTCTCTCTGCAGCCCGTGGAGCGTAAGAGTGAGGGAGGCCCCCAGACTGCCCCCACGCCCCAGTCTCCGTTTACCCCGCACCAAGGGCCTGTGCCGTTTGTGGACTGTACCTGCAGCACCCAGTGACGTCCTCCATGCTCATGCTCCTGTCTTGGCACTGGGTTTTCTTTTTTAATGGGTTTTATTTATTTGTTTGTTTGAAAGGCAGAGTGACAGAATGGGAAAGACAGAGAGATCTTCCATGCATTGACTCACGCCCCAAATGGCCGCAACAGCCAGGCTGGCCCAGGTCAAAGCCCGGAGCCTGGAATTCCATCCTGGTCTCCCATGTGGGTGGCTTGGACCTAAGTACTGAGGTCATCTTGTGCTGCCTTCCCAGGCACATTAGCAGGGTGCTGGGTTGGAGGGAGAGCAGCTGGGACTCCAACCACCGCGCAGGTCCCTGGCCAGCCAATGAAGCTGCTACCAGAAAGTCTGCTTGGCCATTGGCCGGTTTCTCTGGGATCCCATCGTCCCGTCTGCATACTGGCCAGAGCTCTCACTCTGGACCACACAGTGAGCCAATCTGGGCTCTCATTGGCCACTTGCAAATAAGATTCCAAATTTAACATCTTTCTGTCCAGTGGTTTCTTTTCTTTGGAAACAGGGTATCACAGAGCTCACTAGAATTATATAACATGTTCTTGTAAGATGTTTACCGACTTGTTCTGAATTATGTTAATGCATTCAGCCATATTTCAAAATCAGGCTTAAAAAAAGCCTTCCGTGTGATTACACTGCTTCTGAAATAAAACATACTGAACATAAGTGAATTAAAAGATACCATTTTGATGCTCGGTCCCGCCAGTTGGTCAGCAGACCTTGCAAGTGTGAGCTGGCAAACTCCTGAATGTATATTTTCTATGCAGTGTGACTGGAGCAGAGTCATCCTCTCTTCTGAGGGTCTGGACTGTCCAGTGGGGTTGGAACTGAGCCAGGGAGAGACTGTAACTGTGATGGATACTGTGGCCCGAGACGGAACAGAACTCTGAAAACTGGTTACCATGTTTTAATATGCAGTAAGTGGCTTCCCTCTCATTTAGCTCATACGCAGACACCAGAAAAGTAATTATTTGCTTTTGAGTGCTTAGCACATTGTTAATTATCAAATGCACATATTAATAGGCAAACAAAATCAGAAAGCATGCCTCTAATTCTGTCATAAATAGTATCTTGGGCCAAGTAGATTTAAGTTCAACATAGAAGAAAACAGCCTTCAGAGTAATGCTTTTTTAAATGAAAGTGATCAGATGACACTTTCCCATTATAAATATTCATCATAATATTTGTTCGTGCACACATGCTCATTGGGTGCAAATTAAGTGCCAGTTACAGCGCTAGATGCTGTGGGTGTGGACAAGGAGGTGGGAGAGTATCTGTGGAGCTTAGAGGCTGGTGAGGGAAATGCAGAGTTGTGGATACTAGGAAGAGTCACGGGTACCAGGGCCACAGGGACATGCTTAAGAAATGCAAGCTGTTGGCCAGCTCTGCGGCTCACTAGGCTAATCCTCCGCCTGCAGCACTGGCACCCCGGGTTCTATTCCCAGTCGGGGTGCCAGATTCTGTCCCGGTTGCCTCTCTTCCAGGCCAGTTCTCTGCTGTGGTCTGGGAGGGCAGTGGAGGATGGCCCAGGTCCTTGGGCCCTGCACCCGCATGGGAGACCAGGAGAAGCACCTGGCTCCTGGCTTCGGATCAGCACGGTGCGCCGGCCGCAGCGGCCATTGGAGGGTGAACCAACGGTAAAGGAAGACCTTTCTCTATCTCTCTCTCACTGTCTACTCTGCCTGTCAAAAAAAAAAAAAAAAAAAAAAAAAAAGAATGAAAGAAAGAAACACAGGTTTTCATTCTGTTATCTTTGTATTATCGTTTTTGTTTTCTTGGTATTTTGGCTATCCTAATTTTTTTTTTAACTTATTTTATTTACTTGAAAGCCAGAGTGCGGAGAGAGGGCGAGACAGAGAGTAAATGAGATCTCCTATCTGCTGGTTCACTCTCCAAATGGCTGCAATGGCCAGGGCTGACCAGTCTGAAGCCAGGATCCTGGAACTCTTTCCAGGCCTCCCAGGTGGGTGGCAGGGGCTCATGTAATTGGGGCGTCATCCACTACCTTCCTAGGCACATTAGCAGGGAGCTGGGTCAGAAGTGGAGTAGCCAGGTTTCGAACCAGTGCTCTGATAGGGGGTGCTGGCATCGCTCATGGCAGCTTAGCCCCCTGTGCCACAGTGCCATACCAATCTTGGTATTTTATTATTTTGTAAACCCTCTCTGTGGCACAGGGCACATGACAAGTAGCCAATGAAAACACAGACAGATACTGAGACCACTGATCTTCAGTCCTGCACTCTTAATCCCAGGGTAATTTTTGTGGGTGTTACTGGTGTTGATGATAGTGTCTTGTTAGATTCCGAAGTTCAGATGAGGGGCTGACAGATCGGGATGTGCTGCTACAGTGGAGAATGCAAGAGATTCCTCGGAGCTTGGAACAGTTTGTCACTAACACACACGTGTCCATCCCCCTTCAGGGAAAATTGCTGTAGCCGTGGGGCCAGTATCGTGGTTCAGCAGGTTAAGCTGCTTACACTGCCAGCATCCCATATCAGAGCACCGATTGGAGTCCTCCTGGCTGCCCACTTCCAATCCAGCTTCCTGGGAAAGCAGCAGACGATGGCCCAAATACTTGGGGCCCTGCCACCCACGTGGGAGAACCAGATGGAATTCCTGGCTCCTGGCTTTGGCCAAGCCCAGCCATTTTGGCCATTTGGGGAATAAACTAGCAGATGGAAGATCTGTGTGTATATGTGTGTGTGTGTACCTCTCTCTTATCACTCTGCCTTTCAAATAAATCAACAAATTTTTAAAATTTTCCGTAACCAAACCAAACAGACGATTCAGCATGAGTTCTTCCCTTGACAGGAAGTTTCCTGGAAGAGTTCTTTGTGTGCTGACCTCCCGCAGGGACTTCAGGAGCGCCTCTCCTCTGTAAAGGGAGGCCCCTGGGTTAGCCCGGTTTATGGGGGGGGGGTTAGTTTCCTGTTGCTACTGCACACTCCTGACAGCAGCACACACTTGCGCTCCCCAGTGCTGGAGATCAGAAGTCCAGCCTGGGTCTGGAGGACCACGTTCCTTCAGCTTCTAGAGGCTGCTTCGTATCTTGACTGGTGGCCACTTCCTGCATTTTCAAAGCCAGCAGCCCGGCATCTTCTCTCCCCCCTCTGACCACTGCTCCATCCTCTGCCGTTCTCTGTGTTACTCTGATAATGACCCTTGTGATGACCCTGGGCTTACCCAGGACAATCTTGCCATGTCAGATCCTTCACTTAATCACATTGCAGACTCCTGTCCTGCCATGGAAGACGACTGGTCCATAATTTTTGGGAATTTAGATGTGGCTGTCTTCAGTGTGTGGGGGTGGCAGGTGGGGGCCATTATTTGGCTGACCGCAGCTGCCATGGGATGGAATTCAGGGTCCTGTGCTGCCAGTCTGCCTACTCCTTGTGGTTCTTGCAAACGAGGTGTCATTCCTACTTCCGTTTTGGTGGTGGGAAACTGGACGGGAGCAGTGAAGCTCTTCCCCCAGTGCTACTCAGCCAGCAGGGGGTTGGCTCAAGTTCATCTGTGTTCAGACCTCGCACACATCCTACTGTAGCCTCGCTCCCCCAGAGTGGGGCACCGGATCAGCTGCAGAGCCTGCGAAAGTGCAGGATCTTCACCCCACCCAGAGCTGGCGAATCAGAGGCAGCAGTTTAACCAGATCCCCGGGGAATCGTAGGGAATCTAAGGTCTGGGAAACAGTAGGCAGAAATGTGCAGG